CCCCCAAAACCCCAAAACCCCAAAACCCCTTTTGTCTAAAAAATAATGAAACTAATTGGTAATGGAATATCAAATCCAAATAAGAATGAAAGCTTATTCCCAGAAAGTTTGTTGGAAGGGACTAAAGGATTTAGAATTAGTTTTAAAACCTCATTCTGGAGCATCCACGATCTTAACAGTGAGTGATTATGAGTCTCATTGCTCAATAATTTGACTAAGCTTCTTTCTCAAGGCAGTAGGGCTTCTTCTATATTATAACTGTATCATGTGTACATTTAGAAACTTGTGTAAATTTTTATTTTTGAAATTACCTTGACTGCATCTTGGATGGATTCTCTGCTCCTAGATTGCTCTTTAGAGCTGGATTTTTAAAGCTAGAATTGATTTAATCCTGATGATTACCTTGAAAAATTAGAGAACTGAAATCTTCTCACTCTTCATTTGTCAAGAGGAGGATTTTTAAGAGTTGAGGAATTTTCAGTAGGACTAGAAGGAGCCTTAACATTGATAGGGCTGCTTATGTTCCTTTTAGTCTCAAGAGCTTTCATCTTTTGGCACAAACCAGCTTTAATATTTTCTGGAAGAGATGGAAGCTTAGAAGAAGTGTCTATTGGAGAAGGAGAGAAAACTTTTCTGTTCATTCTCCTGTTTATTTTAGGTAATCTCCTCCTATCTGGAAGAGGAGTTGTTGCTGAGGTATGATCCTTGTTTAAATATAAAGTATATCCTTTGGCAGCAACAAGTACTCCATTATATAGATTTCTTCTCTGAGATGTTGTATTTTTGGCAGTTGTATCCTGTAGCTTGGTCCTTTTGCCTGGTATTGGACTCAAGAATTTTCTTGGCTTATAATCTGCTTCAAGAGTGGTTGGCTGATCATCACAAACATTGTCTTTTGAAGAATTTGTCATAGTAGTTTTCCTATTAATCTGCGCCTTTAAAGGTCTCGGCCTGATAGTATTTCCTCTTCTAAGAGTATTTCTATATTTGAGTTAGGAATGTCAAACCACAATTCGCATAGAAACAATATTTTACCATAATTGGTGAGAATTAAAGTAGGATAGACATTAGTAATAAATTCCTTTAGTTACACAAAAATTATAAACAAATGAGTACTTTAGTAAAGAGTCATACTTCTTTTCTTCTTGGTGGTCCTTCTTTTTAGGAGATGAGCTAGAGACCTCTTCTTGGGCAGCTTTGGCATAGTATTTCCTCCTTTCTTGGTTGACAAGCTTCTTGATATCAAAGGTATACTTTCTTCTGGTCTTACTCTTTAGGTCCTATTGAATGATAAAAAGTTCCATTTGGTTAGAGTTTGAGCATAGTTATTCAGAATCACTTGTTTACCTGAATATTTTTGAGTTGATTCTGTATTACGTTCATATTAATTTTTGGCTTAAGCTTCAGGTTCGTCTCTTCCTACATATAATTATGAGTTTTTCCAAATTATGCTATAGAAGAAACTGACGATCAAGTTTTATTCGAGTATTGTTAAAATGAATTCTTCATTGGGAAATAAAATATTAAGTTGATAACCAACTAAGGAATCAGGAGACCAAATGATGGCTTACATTATATGTATAGTCGCATGTGAAATTCCTTGCCCTTGTTTGTTTCCCTTTGACATGCTCTATTTTATAGTCTCCATCAAGTCTATAATCGGGATGATTAGAAAACATTTGAACATCACAAAAATAAAACTGTAAGCTCTTTTCTGAACTTTCAGAAATATATGAATAAGATAAACATAGGAGAAATACTGGTTGGTTTCGATCCTGGACTTTTCCATTCAATGAAACAGTTTATGAATTTAAGGTCAATTTTGGGTAAAATCTAGAGAGACGTACTTTGTGGTATCTAAAGTACTATCTTCAGCTTTATTGGAAGCAAAGGAGGTCTGATTGCTAATGTTATTTTTAGTATTAGAAAGTCTCATGTTTATTTTATTATAATTCTCCAATCCTTGCAGAGCTTTATGGGGTTTTGGGGTTTTGGGGTTTTGGGGGTTTGGGGTTTTG